GCCCCCCTCCAGGTGCCGCCCCAAGCACAAGCTTGGTGGGCTGGTGCCTGGAGCCGGCCCTGCCTGTAAGATGTTTAAGGTTGGGCATCAGAAACTGAAGTACACAAAATCTTGAAAATTTAAGCCTCAGTGTTCAGATTTAGTTTGAACTGAGAACCCGCAAACTGATTCAAAAGCTTCAGCCACTCACTTAGTAATGCACATGTAATTTGTATCCATCTTTCAAAGATGCTAAACACTAGTACTTATGGGTGATTCCCCTGAACTAACATTTTGGTGTAGGAAGTTCTCTTTTTGTTGTGTAGCAAAACAAGACAGCTACATTTATAGAAGTCAGTTCTTGATTTTTTGTTTTTTGGGTTTGTTTGTTTTTTGTTAAGATAAACCCAATTTTTAGAGGAGCAGAGATTTAAATTTGCCTGTACAGAATTATGTGCACTTTGCTATAGCATCCTTTTATTCAAGGTTAAGGCTGGTTAGTCAACTGTAATATTGAGAAGTACTAATCTTAAATAAAATTAATCTTTAAAGGGTCTGACAATGCATCTTACAGAATTAATGTAATGAACTTCTCTGCACTGTAGAAGTAAACATTCTTACCTGTTGGATTGTGAGGATATTGCGTCACAGGGAAAACCAGAATTAGAGTTAATATGTAATTGTTATGCTGCATGCTAAAATAATCCACTCCACTAGGGAGTGTCAGACAAATATATTTTAAAGCAGAGGTTCTCAAACTAGGGGGTGGGCCTGCTGTGGGGACCGGGAGTGCATAATGTATATTTGGGGTATGTGAGAAGCTTTAGGAAAAAATAAACCTACTGCACACATTTTACCCACAGCAATGAATAACTAGCAAAGCTGGTTCCTCCAGACATATCAGGTCCTCAGATGGCGCTGTGCATTTTGACGGATTTCTCTTAAGCTTGCGGAGCATTATACAAAGTCATTGCCATCTGTACATTAATCCGTTTGCTACGACGCAGTGTGCACATTTAATTGTAAGCATCGACCACAATCACAGTTTTGCTTTTGCTCTTATTACAATGGATTGTTGGCTCTGTTTGAATCAATGCCTTACTGCTTTTAATATTTAGTTAGAGCTGCATGGTTTTTGTTGTTATTGTTGTTGTTGTTTTAAATCAGTATATGTATTTGTGTGGCAGGAGGCGGAGGGCCTAAACTACTCCAGCGACAAAGAAGGAGGGTGCGATCAAATAAGTTTGAGAACCACTGTAAAGTACCCAGAGATGCTCTTGCAGCCACCACCAACTTGGGGTAAACTTCTAACTACCTGCATGAGTTGACAGTTCTATAAAAGCCCACAATAAATGTTTTCCATTTTCAACAGAGTGGGAGAGCCAGGTGCTGCAGAAACTGAAAAAATAAAATGGTTTGGAAGCGTTCCTGTTCTGTAGGATGAGACAGTGGTAGTGTGGTACATATTTGTTGAAACACTAGTTCAAGGACTAAGTCTCAATCCATTCTAGCTCAATGAAACCACTGTAAAATCTTTTCTATGTGCTACATATGTTCCTCTGACACTATTACATTTTCAATTCTTAACATAATTAAAAAAACATTTTTAGAAAAGGCTAGGGGTCAAACAGTCAGATGATGCCTCATAAAAAATCAGATTCGCAGATATAGCCACCTCAGACATCAACTTAAGCCTCCCATGGAGTTTCCGAATGTTATCTTACACAAATGCTAAACTCAGTCCTAATGCATTCACATTCCCCTAGAGATCTAGAGTAACAGAAACAGCACTGAGAGATGAGGCTTTTCTCTTCCAGTATTTGGATCCACTTTCGAAGAAAGCAGAGACATATTTCTGTTCTGGGGCTGCATTGCCTTGGTACTTGACCTGTGAAAGAGTCACTAAGAGTTTGGCTAAAGGTAAATTTTGCAAACCTATTTCCTGTAACAGGATTGAAAGGTTTTGCAACTTGGCCTAGCTCACGCTTTCCCTATCAACTGGCAGAATTCTCAGCCTTTTCCTGCCTGGCAGTTGCAGACAGTGAATTACTGATAGCTAGTCTGAAATCTGTCTCTTTCTCTGAGTGACTCCATAGCTACCTTGTCTGGCTGCACTTATAAGCCATGAGAGACTTATATAAAAAAAAAGAAATTAGGTCTAACCCCAGGTCTCCAGATTCCTATGGGACTCTGAAAGGAAGCTAACTGGAAACCATTTGCTCCCTTTCCCTATTTCTTTCTTGACCTTATCCGAAAACAGCCTGCATATCTGTAAGTGGCAACTGTGGAAAATGTGCTCTGGCCACTTGGTGTGAAAGATAGGCAAGACTCCTAAAAAATCTTCTCTGCGGCTTATCACCTTTCTGCTGGCTCCACAGCAGGCTAGTGCCCCAGTGCAGAAGGAAACTGCCTGTCTGTAAGACTGGACAGGGCCTCATCAACAACTGATAAGATCCTCTGTGAACATACAGGCTCTTCAGGGCTTACTATCCTTTCAAATACCACAGAAGCTATTGCATGACACATACATACATATACACACACATATAGGACTACAGTTTTTTAAAAGAGTCTGGACCTCATTTTCCTCTCATTCACATCAGTGTCCTTCCTCCGACTTCAGTGAAGTTACTCCTGATTTACACTAGTGTAAATATGTGGTCCTATAGATTGTCAATTATAAAACACTATAGACTAATTCAAAGGGCAATGCCACCAGATTACCAAAATAAACAAATACAAAATTCACCTTTCCACTAAAATAATATTAAATGGAATAGATGAGAAGGAAGAATGCATCTTGAAAAATTTTTACATTATATTAAAAATTGATCTGCCAGCACACACACACACACACAAAAAATCTAAAAGGTTCAAGTTCTCTTATATGGGGCCAGCAAGAGAATTGCTAAATCCTTGGCCCTGTCTCTCTTACAATCAACACTTGTAAATACACAGATAAGCAGCACTATGGAGGATTGGTCACCAAATGGAATGTTCTCACTTTGGGGTTTTGTAAACGTATGACAAATTCAAAAAGAACAGATTAAAATACCCTCTATTACAATTCAAGTGAGCAGAGTGGTTGGGGCAGGAGAAAGGGGAAACAAAATATCTGGCTCCCATGCTATGGCTCAAATCAATTTATTTTTAAGAATAGTGCCGTAAGTGATGGATTGATTTTTAATAACAAGAAACTCTTAAGTTCAGAAGAAAAAGGCAGCCGTTGATTTGATACCACATTATATACTGTGTCTTTCAAGCCAGCAGTCTCATACCATAGCCCTGATCATGCAAATACTTACACAAGTGAGTAACTTTACACGTCAGAGTAGTCACATTGAACTCAGGTGTGTGTTTGCAGAATCAGGTCCCAGGATAATTTCAAAGTATTGTATGGGATATTTAGACACACAACTCCCATTCAAAGTAAATGGAGAATGGAGTGCTTAATGTCTTCCACTCTGGAACTTGCTTTCCCTTTCCTCTCTCTAAGATGGTGTAAAAAAGCTCAGACTCGTTTACCTTGAGAGCAAGCTACAAGAGCCATCTACTCTCCCTGCCTTTCAAAGAGGAGGTTAACTGAAGATGGTCTGGGGGCTGGAAATTGCTAGTGCTAGTGAGTTGGGTGGGTGAAGAAGGAATATAATGATTGTTATTTTAATTTGTAATTGCTGTATCATAGCTGCATACTTCACATGTGTCCTAGCACAGGAACATTTTGTACATTAGTTAGAAGATAAATGGGGCTTTAATAAAGGATAAAGTGAAAATACATAGTAAGACTGACATGCTGAAAAATATTTCCAGGATTTGCAGTTTGAAGATTTTAGCTTTTGTGAGGGATATAATTAGAAAGAGGCTGAGAGGGAGACAAAACGGAGAATGAGCCTTTATTTATTGTTTCAGACCATGAGGTGCAAATTAATTTAGGAAGAAAAATATTTTCTACTTGATTCTCAGTAATTTTTTTTGGAATTTTTTCCCCTTAAAGTTTCAAATGATTTTCGAGCCTCCAGAATGTGACATTCCAAATCTAATTCTAAAGCTTAAACCTTTTTCCAGATTATCCCATTTCCAGCAGGTAACAAACAAAAGGCTAACAGTTTGTGACAAAGAATAGAGGTGATACAGAATGATGTGGGTAATTAGATACTGAAGAGTAAGCAACCTTGCTGTCCTAATGCTCACATACTATATCTTGCTGGGAAACGGAAATCAAAGATTTGTTAGCATAGATTAATTGTCGGTCTTTTTGCCTCTGCCCTTGACCATCAACATGTAACTACCTTATGATCAGGATTAATAGATGTCTGTAGAAACATTTTGGAAAATTTGGAACGATGGTGAAAATATGAAGGCACGAAGGATCATTGAGTTAGAACTCAGGAGGCCTGTGTTTGTTTGCCAACTCTACCAATGATTTCCTGTCTGACCTTGGGCAAATCACATCAGGGTCTGATTTTTGCAGAGGTACAGGGCTCTGGCAGGTCTGACTGATTTCAGCTGGAGTTGTGGGTGCTCAGCATTTCTGTAAAAACGGGACCTGAATCTCTCTGTGCCTCAGTTTTCTCATCTGTAAAATGAGGATAATACTACTGTTGTTTAACATTTGTATTGTGGAAGCCCTACTGGCCCCAACCAGGTTGTGCTAGGCTCCATACCTCCCTGTCTCTCAAAGATGCCATGAGAACAAATTAATGTTTGTGAAGCCCTCACATAGTATATTGATGGGAGCCTTAACTCTACCATTTTATAAACAGGTTTTCCTACTTCTCTCTTTCTCTTCTCCCATCTTGCTCCAGCTCCCATCTCAATGGTCTTCTCTCTGCACACTGAAATAATAATTGAAGGAACTATTAGGGTCAGTGGGCAGCTTAGGGGTTATTTATTTATGTATCTATTTATAACTGGACTTACTGCAGAGGTAGCTGAGTGCATTAAAAACAAACAAACATATCTGAGTCATTGTTAGAAATGGCTCAATAAAATCAATCCCTGTTAAGGGCTTGCCTGCCCTGATGGCAACTAAATAAAAATAAAACTTAATCAAAAGGTGATTAAGCCAAAAAACCTTATAATACAGCTTGTAGGTTGCCAAACTTGGGTTCTGGCAGATCATCGGGGCAGTGAGTTTCCAAGGCAAAGGTTCTCAGCTGAGAACACTTTGCCACCGGTCCTGGAAAGCAGGTCGATCTTACATGCTTTGACCATAGGGAGAGAAATAGCATCTCAAATAACGTGCTGCATCATGCAGGGGATTCCACCCTCATTTTAAGTACTACTGCATTTTACTCTAATGGTTACCACTCCACCTTCCTTCCCTACAACCAGGTTATGGGGATGTTGGTAGAACTGTGCATATAACTGATCTTTTTTTTGGTTCACTGGCCATACCAAAAAATTGGTGAAAAAATTGTTCCAGGTTTACTCAAACCAAAAATGTTGTGACATTTGTGACAAATCAAAAAAATTGGAAATAAAAATTATTTGGAGTCAAACAAAATATACCATTTCTGTGGGTTTTTTAAAACCTCCTTTAAAAAAATATAAAATTGAAGTACAATTCAAAACAAACAGTCGTTTTGAACTGAAAAATTGAAATATTTCAAAAATGCCAAGCCAAAACATTTTGATTTGGGAGGGAATTTTGTTGGGTTTTGTTTGACCAAAACAATTTGGTGCATTCAACACAAATTCACAAAATATTTTGGTTGACCCAAACTGCATTTTTTGGTGAAAAAAGTTTTGGCTGAAGAATTTTATCCTGCTTTAGTTGCTGGGAATCTCTCCCAAGGCTACTAGTCCAGACTATTCAACACTCTGGACCAATGTGAGTTTTGCAGAACGTATGAAAATGGCGCTTTATATGTTGAAACTGTCCTACACCTTTAACCAGAATCATCGCTGCGGTTGCTATTTAACAGACAATATCCTGAAGTATAATTATGTACATGGATCTGTATGTGGACAAGAAAATAGAAGGTAAGCCTTTGGAGAAACCATCCAACTCTATTACAGTGCCTCATGCAGAACTACTGCAAAGGATTCCAGAAAGGAACTGTTCTTTCTGAGAGAAGGAAATTGCTGAACCCTCATCAGTCTCTTAGCACAGAAAGTATGTACACTGCTCACATAGGGTCTTAACCAGCAGCCGCTGAAATCAATGGAAATCAATGGAAATATTCCCATTGACTTCAGTAGTCTCTATGTCCATAGGGTCTTATCTAATGTTCATTGAAGTAAATGATTCTTTACTGCTGACTTCAGTCAGATTATCGGTGGTATTCCTCTGAGGTAAAAATATGTTTAAGTGGTACAAATCAAGGTAAAAAAGGAGTGCAGACCTCAATTACATCTTAACTAACACCTATAATAACCACAGTTGGATCAGGAGAACCCAAAGAGAAAGAACAAGAGATAAGAAGCAATGTTCATTTCTAGGCCCTGTTTATTATTAGACTACTTAGATTGTAAACCATTTGAAGCAGAGACCGTCTTTTTATTCTGTCCATACAGTCCCTAGCACAATGGGTCCTGGTCCATAACTGGCACTCCTAGGCACCACTGCCATACAAAGGAATAATTAATAGTAGGCTCTCACTGGGGCATGTGGGCATCTTGTCTCAATCTGAAGAAGAAAAGCAAAATGCAGATTCTCAGCGCTTTTCTCCTCCCCACTCCTCAGCTTTATGTTGTTCTCTGTTCATTATCCCACTAACAAGCAGTGTAGTTATATAAACCCAGGGACTTTGACTGCTGCACATTTTCCATTTTCAGTGTTATGTGAGCATGTTTACTGATTAGCGGTTGATATTTTCCCCACCCCTTGTGGAAAAGCAGAGCTTTAAAGATAAGAAAACAAAACCGAAGGACAGTTCTGTTAAGCTGAAGGCTTCAGTAGGCCGGGTAATGTCCGATTGCCATCTATTAATATCGCCTGTCTCTGGGAGGGGGCAGGAAGGGGTGATATAATATCACCTGGCTTTGTTTAATCACAGTGGTGTCTTGGTGATTTTTGTTGGGGCGAATGATGAGTTTGGAAGGAGACAGTCACTTTTAAGGTTGATACTGGAAATAAAAAATAAAATAAATAAATGAAAAGCAGCTGAGTCCTATGCTGACAGAGGAGTGAAAGCAGCTGATTGTGGTAACTGGTCTATCCTAATTTTCACATCAACACCTTTTTAAAATGGGCACTGCAGGGTGGGGAGCTGAGAGAGGGGTAACCGACTGGAGAATCTATTCATTTGTTTTTCCCATTCAACAAACAAACATTTACCAGGTCACGCAGGTGAATGAATGACAGACACAGAGATGGATCTAAACAGCAGGCCACAACTTTATTAATTTAAACACTGCTCTCACATACCAAGTATTTAATGGTTCCCGTGTGGGGTTATAGGGCTCCCACCATACAAACAATAGCTTTGGGTAGACCTGCCAAGTCCTACCCCTAGGATTTAGTTTGGTTCTGAATCCTCTCTGCCTTCCTCTGCATGAAGGGGGAGAAGGGGACAGAGGGTACTGAGGGGGAAAGCTTAGTCCATGAAAACTTCAGGTCTCTCTCTCTCGTGTAGGCACAAGTTCCACCAGTGAAATCCCAGGTTCTTATTTACCGGTGGGAGCTGGCCCTTTTAGTCTTTATCCCCACTAGACAATAGCCACAAGTTGTAATGAGCTAAAGTCTTACCACTCCTAACATTAAACATTCAAGTCCTATTGCTTACAACCCAACTGTGCTTCCATGATGCTATGAGGAAGGCCAAAAAACCCAGCAGACTTCTGCTAATTTGGTCCACTGAGAAAAATTCCTTCTTGATCCAAAACTGGCAATTTTCATACCTGCAAACATTTCTCCTATGCTATCGCGAAGGAGAAGGAAGGTCGGCCAGCTAGCAGGAGCCAAGAGGCATTTGAAAAGCCTGGGGGAGTTTAAATAAGCTGGGAGCCGGACCACATAGCTAGCCTAGATATAGCTATACCTGTAAACCCTCCAGTGGAGATACAGCTTATACTGGCAGAAGATTTCTTTTGCTGGTATAGCTTATACCAGTTCCCAGAATGAAATAAGCTACACTGACAAAAGGATTTTTTTGCCAGTATAACAGCATCTGGTTTAGAGTTTTTGCCAACATAGTTATGTCAGGGGTCTGATTTCCCCCACTCCCCCATACTTAACTGACATAGTACTGCCAGCAAAACTTTTAAGTGTAGACCAGGCCTTTCCATGTCTAATTAGATTATAAGATCTACAGGGCATGGACTGTTTCTTGATACCCATTTGCACAATGACTGGCACAATGGGGCCCTGATTTCATTTGAAGCTTCTTGGCGTTTCTGTAATAAAAATTATAGTTGGCACATTGTTCAGCTTGTGTCATTTAAAGCATGTGTGTGAAGACTTTGTGAGTAGGGGTTGGGTGTGGGAGACATCCTCCTTTAGAATACTTCTTTAAATAACTGACAGTTGGTGGAATCTGATGCATTCCAAAGGCCACAAATTTTGCTCTTCAGAAGTATTTTTCTGAGGCCCTGAGATAAATCATCTCTGGAAAATGAGTCAGCCATATCCAGAGAGAGAAGTGAGCTCTGTCAAGGCATGGGTATCACCCCAATCTTCAGTTTGATGGCAGAATAATAACAAGGTCCCATCTGACACGTCACTCTTTTTCTTCACCCCCCCTTGTAGAGAAGATGAAGTGGTTGACTGTGGCATTACTGTGCCTGGGGGAACATTGGATCATCAGAACATGAATGTTGGTAATGCTGCTTAATGAGCTGTGGCGAATATGTATTTTCTTGGTTGAGCAAGAAGACACCAGTTGCTCTTGGTTTCAAACAGCTGAGTTAATCGTTACCGTGTGCACAGTGCTAGCAAACAGTTGCTGCTCCATGAGCTATTAGGGGAGTAGCAGGGGTCAAATGGGGGTGGGAGGAAGGTTCCAAGTTCTTCCCACAAAACAGGTTCTGCTCACTTGACTCACCAGCACAAGATATCACTCACAGGCAGATATTCAAAATAAGATTGTGCTCTCTAGGTTTTGCTGGACTCCTGAAATTTGGATTATCCTCAGTGGGGTTGAATATGCCCATGGGTTCTGCTAGGTTCCTTGGCCCAAATTTATAAAGGTATCTAGGCATTGCTGCACTCAGTGTTGCAAATTCTAAGTGACTGAGATAGTTTAATCACATTTTCAAAGTGAAAGCAGTCCCTTTGGTTTATATTTGTAAAAAGCCAGCAGATATGCACTTCTGCTATGTATTCTGGGACTTCCATTAGCAGTTTCTGACTGCATCATAAGAGTGAGTGTATAATGGTAGGGGCAGCTGGGAAAGAAGCCTGTGATAGTAAAGTGTGTAAACCATTTTGGGAATGAAAGGCACGCTAGAGAGATTAGATATCTAATCTATCTAAATTTCTATACTGAACACATCACCATGGTCTCTAGGCACTTTGCAATTTAAAAGTATAACAGGTGTCTTAGTCTAGCTCAAATGTCTCCCCTTTTCTGTACCCAGACAAGATTTTTTTTAATTATTTTATTTTGTTACTTATGTGAAAGCTAAGCCAAATAAGTGAGTCTTGTATATACACATGCTCTTGCACCAGATTACATAAATTGGCATCTCTTCATTGATTTGCATCGATTGAGGATCTGGACAATTATTTAGCAGATTTTATATGAGAATATAATTTGGGAGAGATGGTACCTTTGACCTTTTCCCTTTCATAGTTCTGTTGCCTGAACATATGTATTATATAGCAAAATTTCTCTAGTCAGTATAGTAGAAGTCTGGATTTTTTTGCAGTTGTTAACCTTAGAGCTGTGTT